TTCCAAGAATTTTGACTTTGTAAGAGCAGTTTGAAATTTTGATGTCAATTTGATTTGTTTAATTGATCATTGCTGATACAGCACCTTTTTACATGCTGGAATTTTTTTTAAAAAATCCTTCAGTAAAATTGTGGTAATTTTTCTTCTTTTACATGCTGGAATTTTTTAAAAAAAATCCTTCAGTAAAATTGTGGTAATTTTTCTACTCTTCCCTCTTATAAAGGTTTATTCTGTACATTTCTCTTTTGCTAACTGATACTAAAGTGTGTCAAATGTGCAAAGTAAACTAGTAAAAATGTGAGAATTTCTATAACTTTGGATGCTCTTTCTAATCATACAAGGGACCAGATTTTCAGGCACAAATGAGCCTCTCCAGTTGACCGTCACTTAAGAACTGTGTATTACTCCCATTTCATGTTTTAACCATGCAAAGCCATTTCTGTGCCTGCCAGAAGGCTCCCTTTAACACTTAAGTAGTAAGTAGTCTTTGACCATGCTAAAATATGGAAGGACTTTGTGCTCGTTTCAGTCAAGATAACCCTTCATAAGGTCACCTTCTAATCAGGTCATCAGGCGCCAAGATTGACTAGAATTTATAGTTGTATTTTAAGAGTCCAATTGTTGACGTTGGAACTAGGTATCTACAGAGTGAGAACAAACGAGTGAAGAACCCAGTTGTGCAAATGTTACACATGCTGGTGAGCACTCATGGGAATATTCAGTGCCTTCAGTTGGATTGCTTGTGTCAGTGTTCACCAGCTTGAGAGAGGGTTGGGCATCTACCTCTAAAATAATGAATGTTAATTCAGATAATCACATTATATAGTAGCTTCAAGTAATTGAACATGACAAATGGTGTAAGGCCTGAAAGTGGCCTCGAAGAGAGCATTCTTCAGCGCTAGGACAGTGTGATGCTTCCCAGGGATACTCAAAAAGTTGGGAGACTCCTCACTAACCCCAAAGTGTGAGGCAGTTTTGTCTGTTTGCCATATATCAGCTCCCCACCTGCACTAGCCATGGGCAATGCAAGCCCTACCCTCCAGGCCTGGGAGTTCCCGCTGACACACTACAAGATAGCGCACCGAGCCTTGTGTGTGTCTCCCTACAGTGTCCAGCATTTGGACACTCGTAGTATTCACAGATTTACTGCTCCCAAATGGTGCCTCGTCCTCAGCGATACCTGCACAACACTTTCAAAAGGCAAGCCTGGGAGCTAACATTCTTTACTCTGCTTGACACCAAAAATCATAGATGGAGCAGAGACGCTGGGTTTATGGTTTTTACTACAATTACCTGTAGCCCACTCACCCCCTCTTTTCTGCCCAGTGACTGCAGAGGTGTTTATGGGCAGCATGGGCTCTTAGAGTATGGTTTAACTGTTGATGCTAAGCAATCTGTTTCACCTTGCCTTTTGCTGTAACCTGAGTATTCCTTTCCCAGACCTGAAGGACCTTCTCTGTCTCATCAACAAACCTCGATCCAATAAAAGATATTACCTCACTCACCTTTCCTCCCTAACGCAGCCTTTTTGGTTGGTCACTTAAGGCAGGCTTCACTAATCAGAATTCTATTCCATGATCCCAGTAAGCACGTCCATGGTTTATGTACAGTCTATAATGTATGCGTATATTGTGGCTTGTTACGGCAAGCTACAGTAGCTTCTTGGAATTATGTATCAACACCCCTTGACTATCAATACTTGAAGACCAGGTCTATCCTATTTGCAGCAGATATGCCTTTTCTCTATGCCAAGGATTCTCAAATTCTTCAAATTGTGGAGTATATTGTGTAGTCAGGATGAAAACGAACGTGCTTAAATGTGTTTGGCAGAGCTGCTTAGATATCTAATGTTTATCTTTTCTGTGTTTATTTTCTTCCCTATGCTTAGTCTTTCAATAACTTCTCTCACTGCCTACAGTCACGGCAGCTTTGATCTCTTCAGGTTATTTCATATCTTGGCCCTGTCCTGCGGTATATTTGCTGCCTCTCCAGTTTCATCGTCTGCAAATTGCACTGAAGAAACATCAACAAAGATGGTTATGATTAGGCTTGGCATGATTTCACTGTTACCTATAAATGTCAGTAAATGTTGATTTTTCTGTACAACAAACCCATGAAAAAATATTTCCATCAATAATTGAAATGTATAGATAGGCAAAGAAAGGAACTTAAGGCTGTTTGAGACCTTATTAGAATTTCATTTAAGGATATTTACTTTGTATATTTTGATGTGATTTTCACAATTTGTGCTTTTAATAGATATAAAGCTTTAAGTTCTTAAGGGTAAACCTCTACTGTCACCAAATAGTTGTATGATCCTCTGTTTGAGTCCCCTGTAATTTCCTACAATTGTGAATTTGATTAAAATTGAAAAAAAGCGCTTAGTATTAAAGTCAATATTATGTTTGCAGTTACAAAAAATAATTAGAATTCTGCCAAGCCTATTTGATGTGACTCTGGAGAGCACACAGTAGTACTCGAGTTTGGTTTTTTGGGTTAGTCTCAAAAGCTGAGAGCTGTTGCCCAGCCCAGAATTTCTGAGAAACATCTCAGCTGAAGAGACAAATTCTTTACCATTATGACAGTGCTGACACCTGGAAGTGCTCTGAGCATTACTGGTGGGCCCTGCACCACAACTGGGAAATACGCTGAGCTTTTTGACTGCCCTGTGTGGTTATTTGTAGTAAAAATAGAATGTTAACACCTCCTGCATTATATCTTTCATAGCTGTCAGCAAGGGCCCTGGATCCAAGACATTCACTTTTTCTGTGGGCTTTGACAGTTCCCGTAAAGATTCTTGCAAATTTATGCAACTTACAAGATGGTACTGGCTTATGAAGGCCTGTTTCTGTGTGATGCCTCTATGCTGTCTAAAATCCATCTTTCTTATACCTCCTTAGTACTTTGTGACACAGCCATAAGAAGCAAGTAAGGGAGATGATGACATTAGTATAGACGAAGTTAGTGTCACTAACTGGTCTCAAATTTTGTGAACTTAAATATTTGTACATGTGACTAAGAAATTAAAATGTAGAACTCTGAAATATTCAAGCCAGAAATCATAAGACTGGAAGGGGACCTCAAGACATCTTCTAGTCCAGTCCCCTGTACTCAAGGCTAGGACTAAATTGTTAGATTCTAGACCATCCCTGACAGGTGTTTTTCTAACTTGCTCTTGCACCAGTGATGCAAATTCCATAATCTAACCTGCACTTGCTGCTATTTAAGTCCATTTCTTCTTGTCCTGTCCCCAGAGGTTAAGGAGAACAATTTTCATCCCTCCTTGTAACAGCCTTTTATGTACTTGAGAGTAGTTAAAATTTCCTCACTAACCTTAACCCAATAACTGGTTTTCTGCATAGAAAAGCCAGAGTTGGCATTAGGGAGGTGGCAAACAAGGCAATTGCCTGGAGCCTCATGCCACAGGCCTCCTGCAAATTATATAGCTTAGGCTTCAGCTTCCAACCCGCGTGGTGGGGCTCAAAGCCCTGGCTTCAGCACCATGCAGTGGGAGACATTGGCTTTCTACCCTGGGCCCCAGGAAGTCTGATGTTGGTTCTGCATCTCCCCTCCTCCCCTGCCCCCGAAAGCTGCTCACTGCCCCCAGGGGACCTTGAATCCCTGGTTGAGAACCATGGATTCATTGAATTTCATTCGGTTTGCTTCAGATTTGTTTCTCTGGTTTGTCCAAATCATTCTGAATTTTAATACTATCTTCCAAAGCTCTTGCAATACCCCCCCCCCCACTTGATATCGTCAGCAAACTTTAAGTGTCTTCTGTCTGCCGTTATCTAAATCATTAATGAAAATATTGTGCAAAAGCACCTAGAACTGATCCCTGCAGTACCCCGCTTGATACGCCTTTTCAGCTTGACTGAACCATGGATAACTACTCTCATGGGACCATTTTCACGAAAGCTTGTGCTCCAATAAATCTGTTAGTCTGTAAGGTGCCTCGTCGCTTGTGCATTTTCCAATCAGTTCTCCACTCATCTTACAGTGGCTTTATCTAGGTTATATTAACTTAGTTTGTGAGAAGGCCATGCGAGGCAACGTCAAAAGCCTTACTACTTTTCCACTGGACAGTCTTGCCTACATTTCAGCCTTTATCAGGGATGTGAAGAATTAGTGTCCCGTCCCCCGTCCTCCACTGCCTCTATCAGAAAGAGGCAGCAAGGAGAGGTGGAGGGGGTACTTCAAAGCAGCAGCACTGCTTGGAGCCTGGGGTCAGACCCCGGGTTCCATGAGGTGCTGCCACTTTGAAATGCCGTGTGCAGCCCAGGGTCAGGTGGGTTGTCCCCATGCTGCATGCAGCATTTCAAAGTGGCAGTGCCACGTGGAGCCCAGGATCGGCTGGGGACTCCCCCACTGACTCTGGGCTCCGTGCAGTGCTATTGCTTTGAAATGCCACGTGCTGCCTGGGGCCAGTTGGGGTGTCTGTAGGTTGCATGTGCCATTTCAGAGCGGCAGCTGGTTCGGGTGTCTGTAGGTTGCATGTGCCATTTCAGAGCGGCAGCTGGGGTCAGCTGTTGCTATACTTCAAAGGCAGAGGCGCCTTATCAACTAATCAAATACTCAATGCAAAATGCATCAACTATTTGATTAGTCAGTTAGTCGATATTTAACATCCCTAGCCTTTATCTCCCCGTCTCTGCTAACGTGGCTTTTTCCACTTTTTTTCCTGTTGACCTGTCCCCAGTACAGAATGCTCCATGCCATATCCCAGAATACTGTTTAGATTTCTTTTGATGCCTGAATTATTAGTTTTATGCAGAAATTAGCTAGTTAACCTAATGATTCTGTTCCTTGTGGCTGCATGTAGATTCACACACAACTAGAGAAGCTCTGAACTCCTCATTCATCCTAAGAGGCAAAGAAAGGGCATAACATCTTGAAAACCAGTGCGCAGCATATCTGTCTACTGCTCACATCTACCTGATCCTTAGGTCCACTGTTGTTAAGGTGAATTATGTGACCCTTTTGCTTTTCCTTCCCTTCAGATTTACAGGAACAGATGGGCCGAGTGGTTTTGGATTCGAGTTGACGTTTCGACTAAAGAGAGAAACAGGGGAATCAGCGCCACCTACATGGCCGGCAGAGTTAATGCAAGGCTTAGCCCGATACGTCTTCCAGTCAGGTATGGAACATTAAATCATTGCTGCCTTGTTTTCTGTCACTCTAAATCTGACGGGTTACGTGCATGTCGAAGTGCTGGGTTTGAATCTTGTATGTGTTCATTTACATCTCTGCCATTTTAGTCTTGAGATCAGTCCTGTGTGAAAATGCTGTTACAATAAATGGGGTGTTTCACCAGCCTAACATACTGATTGGTAGATCTCTGCACTACTGTACGGGTGGTCAGTCGCTCTGCTGTAAGCTGCTTGGCGGTACAGAATGGTTAGGCCTGGATAGGAAAGGGATTACCTGTTAGTGATTCCTCTAGAGGAAAGAAGAAGGGAGAGAGAAGGTGGCAGGGGTGTTATGGTGGCAGGGGTTAAAGCTGAGGCAAATGGGAATCCCCAGGGCTCTGTTGGTAATAAAGGAGATTTTCTAGGAAATGCAGCTCCTCCATGTTGTACAATATAACTGAATTTTACATAAATGGTTGTTACAAGAAGAAGGGAGAAAAATTGTCCTCCTTGGCCTCTGAGGATAGGACAAGAAGCAATGGGCTTAAACTGCAGCGAGGGAGGTTTGGGTTGAACGTTAGAAAAAACTTCCTGCCTGTCAGGGTGGTTAAGCACTGGCATAAATTGCCTGGAGAGGTTGTGGGGTGTCCATCATTGGACCAGACTTCCGCAGACGTGTGTGTGCTGGGGATTCGGAGGGCACCGTGAATCAGGATTTCAGTGAGGAGGGGGGAAGGCTGCTAGGAATTCAGCCCCGGAGACTGGGGGCTTCACCACTGCGGCAGGGGCTGTGGCTGTGCTGACCACAGACTGATCAGATCAGCAGGGGGAATGGAAAATACGGGACAATTCCCCCCCTCCCTGGATGCCTGCAAGAGGGTATAAATAAGGGACTGCCCCATTAAAAAGGGGATTCTACCCCTGGGTGGGCTGTGAGCAGGTTTCAGGAGGTCTGACACAGTCAACAAGAGAGTAGGGCTGGACCCAGGGCCGAAAGCCCAAGGAACTTAGCTTTGCAGGCCCTCTGGCATGTGGCCCTCAGCAATTGCCTTGCTTGCTGCTGCCTATGCCGCAGCCTGAAATCCACTGGATATGACAAAAACACAGTAGCAGCACAGGGGGGCCACGGAGCTTTTATAGCATTGCTAAGGGAGCCTCCCAAAGCAAAGTTGAGAACCCCTGATCTGGCTAACTTAGTCCTCCCATGAGTGCAGAGGACTGGAATATATGGCCTACTGAGGTCCCTTCCAGTCCTGAGAGTCTGTGGGTCAGAAAATGGCCTGTTGGGCAGAGTATCAATTCACGTTGTATTTATACGCGCGGCCTGCGGAGTGATTGCGAATCCAGTGAATGCCTTTTTGACCCAGCTTTGGGGTTCTTCACAGTTCAAGTAGCTTCTTAATCTGTGATTCCCAAGCAGTTAAGCACACACAGTTTTGTAACTGTTTCTCTGCCAGTTAATAAATTGCTCAGTAATGTGAGATGACTGACTCTTAAATTGGAGGGGCCCTGAAAAAACACAGTCACTGTTGGCTCTGCTGCTCGCTAGTCCAGAACTTCCGCATCTCGTGGCCGTGCTCCCGTGGTCACGCTTTCAAATGCTGACTCAACAGAGCCATCTACCCACAAATCACTTGTAATCTTAAGCATGTCACTTGCTGCAGGGTGGAATGAAGACATCTTGCCTAAATCTGGCTTTTGAAGAGGTGTGCAGGTCCAGTTTTACTGTTGCATCATTGAAATTTGGGTCCAAATCTTAGTTGAGATTTTTTTCCCTGGTCCCTCACAATTAAAGTTGTTTTATTCCATGTGATTCCCATAAACTGTCCTAGATTCAGAGACTGGGTTAAAGTACAAGATTTCCCACCTAAATTTAATATACCCAACTTTTATTTAGTTTCCTAAAACATTTACTGTCAGTGGGAGCATTAATTAGATTTGCTTTTTTCATGCAAACATCTCAGACGTGCCTCTGACTTTGCAAATGCCTCAAATGTCTCACTTTATAGGTATTAATATTATTTGGTTCAAGATTTAAGGCCATTTCTGCAGCATTTGAAATCCCTAAAATTCTGTACAAGTTTGAATACAATGCTTAGTGGTGCAGTGTCTGACTTCCTTTCCACTTGGACAGTAAGTCATGTGACTTGTTCTCGTCCTGTCCCCAGAACTTGCAGTCATGTGTACTGTAGTGTGTTCACCGGATTTAAAAAAAAAAAGTTAAGTGAACCATGTTAATAAAGAAGCAAACTTCTGACTCCCTTCCTGTTGCATTTTTTGGAGCAATCCAATTGTGGGAGTTTCCTGAACAACAAAACATTTTCCGTTTCTTTGCATTTCATGTGCGCAGCAGACAAATTGTGTATGTGTAATTGGTGGCGAGCTATTGAGAACAGATTCTCTACAAGAAGACTTCTCATGCTTTCCACAAAATACGTAGCTCCATCTTCCAGACCTGCAATAATAAAATCAGCTTTCAGTGTTCTCTGGAAAGAGCATTTATAATTCATAAGTTTCTATTTTTCAACTTTGCCATGAACTTCAGATATAACCGATCCATTAGCTTCAGTATTATCGTTTTATTGATTCAGGCTGATGCTGTCTTTATAGCCCTCATCACTTGTGTCCCAGACACGTTAAATGTTTTTAATAGACTGTGTTTGTTGACTTTTTTTTAAAGTGTGTAAATCAAGGATTCAGTTGCAAAGAAAACGCTCCCTCATGGCAGCAGCTAACTTTGCAATTGTGAGGCTGTTACTAAACATTAGAGAGGCCATTTCTTTCCCAAAATATAAGGAAGCTAGCAGATTTACCCATTGCTCGGATCCTTCACTCAATTAAGGTGTTTTGTTTTGTTTTTTAAATAAAAGGATAACATACCTGCTTTATATAAACGATTGTATTTTTCAAAAGTAGTGTTGTTTTATGAAGTTTATGTTGATTTCTGAGTTCTTTTAAAAGGGATTGTTAAAATTTGTCGATTACGTTTTTTAACAATTTTATTTAAATGGGAATTCCATTAAGTGTATTTTTTTCTTCATCCCTATAAACGCTTATTTGTGTTTTTTAACAAAAAAAAGGGCTATAGTCAATTTGGCTTCCAGTAAAACTATCTTCTAGTTTTCATACCTTAAACATTGATTTAGCTGTTCCAAACCAGAGCATTACTACAAATTTCTTCGTTTCATCTCTTTTCTGTAAGGTTTATTGAGAAACAATCCTATTTGAGGTTCACCCTATTTTTTGGGCTCATCTTGGTTCAGTAATGTCAGTTTCAAAGTCTGTACTTTATTTGGTAACTTTTGTCTCTTCTGTATGGTGTGATGAGAAGCAATCCCATTCCAGGCATATCCTGTTTTCCTGGCATAACCAAACCCTTCCATTTGATTACATTATAAGAGGAAGCTGCATACCAAATTTGGTGTCCTAGATCTTACCACTTAGAGGAGTTTTGATCAAACAGACAAGTTCTTTAAAATATATACAGATTAAACCACTCTAGTCTGGCATCCTCGGTGCCAAACCAGAGAATTTGCTGGACCATGGAAGGCCAGTATTGTCTAGCAGCATTACTGACACTTCCACTGCTTGCTGGATTCTTAGAAGACACTTAGGGTTAAATAAGAGCTAAATGACCGCACAGAACCATGGTGGCTGTAAACAAACTTTATGGGACTGCAGGAAACTTGGCCTCACCCAAATGTACATCCAGCTATCTAAAATCATGCTGGACCGTAGATATTGCCAGACTAGAGAGGTTCAACCTGTAGTAGATTATGCACTGCTGCAATGAGTAATCAAAGTAGAGTTTATTTTGCTGCAAAGCTTGTTTGGCAAACTATCACTTGCTTTTCTTGGCTAAATAGCTGTCTCTGAATTACCTTACCATGGCTGGAAAACCTCAAACCCCATCTCCTTTAATCATAGACATCAGTTAGTACACTGACAGACACATATGAAATGGATTTGGTATAGGGTGTTCTGCGTGGTGGATTTCTTATTGCTGCTAGTTTCCCCGGGCATTACTTGTGGTATGTTTATGCTCCCACCCCTTCCCCTCAGCTTATTCTCTTGCTTTGCTCAGCCCTTGACCACAAACTTGACACAACTCAGTATATTGCTCTGCTCCCCTCAGTCCCACCAGCAACCTCCTCTGTGGGACCCTGAGGCACTATCACAGCACAAATAATGACCACTGGCAGTTCAGAGCAGCTGTATCTTGTGTCCTTTAGCCTACTCCGGCCTCCTCTAATATGCTTGTGGGGGAGCAGGAAACTGACGCCAATCACTTTTTTCTGGTTAATGAGGATATTTTCTGCTTGTCTTGACCACTTGGCAAAGCTGAAATTGATATTTTTTCTTTGTCCTGCTTTTCTGACTTCCTGAGTCTTTGACAAAATTTTAATGCTGTACACTGAAGAGTAAAAACACAAATTTCAGAGTGGGTTCTTTCTCATTGAAACACGGTCTGCTCAAAGCACATTATGGCAAGAACAGCCTTTTCTTATAAGCTCAGTTGTTTTCTACTTGCTCATCCAGTTGTATGATGGATTTCAAGAAAGATGTGGAGAAACTGGAGAGGGTCCAGAGAAGAGCAACAAGAATGATGAAAGGTCTAGAGAACATGACCTATGAAGGAAGGCTGAAAGAATTAGGTTTGTTTAGTTTAGAAAAGAGAAGACTGAGGGGGGAAATGATAGCCGTTTTCAGGTATCCAAAAGGGTGTCAAAAGGAAGAGGGAGAAAACTTGTTCATCTTGGCCTCTGAGGATAGAACAAGAAGCAATGGGCTTAAACTGCAGCAAGGGAGGTTTAGGTTGGACATTAGGAAAAAGTTCCTAACTGTCAGGGCAGTCAAACACTGGAATAAATTGCCCAGGAAGGTTGTGGAATCTCCATCTCTGGAGATATTTAAGAGTAGGTGAGATAAATGTCTATCAGGGATGGTCTAGACAGAATTTGGTCCTGCCATGGGGGCAGGGGACTGGACTCGATGACCTCTTGAGGTC